TAGGTTCAAAATGATGCTTTGCTTAACTACTTTAAGCACATTTCATGATTTTGCTAAGTCTATTCAATCATCATTCATATTAGAGTTTAATCAACTATTTAACTCTTATATAAAGTAGATGAAGAATAGCGTCATTTGATCAACTTTTGATCATAGAGTTTTCCAATCACTTTCTTATATTCAATCATATTGAAGATAAGAGATTTTATTGGACTTCTATACTTGTTTTTTAGAGAGTTTCTACCTCCCATCTCATTGTATCCCTTGAAACACTTTTCAAAATGAAGATGTGTTGGCATTTTACTCAAACATTTTGAATAAAACCAACCTTAGACATGTGACATGGATTTCTAAAACTTGCCTTTTAGAACCATCTTAGCAAAGTTGGAGTATAGGTTTATGGATTATCTTTTAACCTTTTGAGAACGTTTCTCAACTTTATTTTCAATCGATGAGATTATATATAATAATAAAATTAGAACGACATGTTACTTAAAAGTAAACGCAAAATTCAATTATGTTTAATAAAAATTTAAAGTACCATAAGCGATTATAAAACTGGTAACTTTAAAACATTCATTCAATTTAATTGATCCCTATTGAATAGAATGATTCCAAGATCCTTTATTTGTGCAATAATTGACCGGACTTTGGCCCTACCATCAACTATTACATTTTCAAGGTGAGTAAACTCTTTACTGATTACAACTCTTTGTAATTCTTGGTTGAATAATTATCCATCACATGTTTAATTATTACCCTTAGCTTCAAGGTTCTAAACTCTTTAGGTAACCTTGTTGAGTATAACCAATCAAAAGTGTAAAATTTGTTTTACCTCCACTCCCCTAAGATATAATATGACACCCTGCTTTGGCATGACCCATCATAAATATCGAAGGTTTCATCGGGTTTTTGATTGAAAAAGCTACCTCAATATTTCTAGGACCTAGATTCATTATGTTGTGATTATTTAGTGAACTCTAGCGCATCATCAAACAACATAAATAAAATCTAACATGCATAATCTACTAATGCGTAAATAAAACATGGCATACTATGGCCCCTTAATCCTAAGAAAACTAATAAAACAAAAGCTCCCACTTGAACCTTCATGGATCTCATCCATCTTGCTCCTTTGGGCCTTCACTCCATGGATTCTTGGATTAACTGCAACCTGTAATACTATTCTATTCTATCTACTACTTAAAAAAAAAAAAAAAAAATTACAAAAATACTTAACGGTACGCAGATCGTATTTAGATTACAAAAATACGAAACGATGCGCAGATCGTATTTAGAATCTATGGGCCATACTAGTCTATATAGCAATATATAACATCATATATTATAAAATGCTATATAATAAATCACTCATCATGCTTTCCTAAACTACAACATCGAATGTTCTCAATTAAGGAAACATGGCACCAAAATATCTCATATTTTAACTAATTACTGTAATTAGATAATATCATATATTATTCATAACCAATTATAAAATATCATATATTCTAAATTAGTCATGAGATAGAATCAAATCTTATTTTAATCTTAAAAGATAAATCATATTTATCCTCAAAGATTATCCTAACAAAGTTAGAAAATTCTATCCTAATTACTAGCCAATCACAAAATTTTAAATCAATTATATCCAATATTAATTATGGGATAATCACATTATTTAAATCAATTATTATCCTTTTGGAATATGCTCAGAACATCCTAACTAATCTTATCCAAAATTAACCACTTTAATTATGGATAATTACCAATTTAACAACTTTAAATATGGATAATATCAAATATAACAACTTTTGAATATTTGATTTTATCCTAAAATAAAAGATTTTATCCAAATGAAACCAATTTTTATCTTTTAAAATTAAAAGATCATATTTTCAAAATATTTTATCTCATCCAAAATAAATCATATTTTTCTTAAAATATTTTTAAAATAAAATAATAATAATTTAAATTTTTTGTTTTTTGAAAATCGTGTACCACCACACCGGCCACTGTGGTTGGCCAGCCGAAGCTAGCCACGGTGGCTGGCTGCCAATAGCAGCCACTGCCGCAAGGGCAACAACACTGGTAGCCGTGGCAGCAGTCGTGCAACGCTTGCACGCTGCTGCCCACAGCCACCTTGGACCGCCGCCCTCCTTCCCTCCCTATTGGACTGCCACCAGGTCGGCAGCCGCCGTGGCTGCCGGCCTCAAATCCTTTTTTTTGTGTTTTTAATTTAATTAAAATAAAATTTATTAAAATTAAATCAAATCAGTCCAAAAATTAAAATTAAATCAACATTTAATCTTAAAATTAGGGTTCATCATAAAATTAATTCCAATTTAATTTTAACTTTTAAAATTAAATTGATCATGAGACATAAAACATTTTTATGCATAAATCAATCCGATTAAAATTATGAATCATAAAATAAACCGAATTAAATCAAAACCAAGCACAAAAATCATATTTTAGGGCTAGGATTTTCGAAAAATTTGAAATTTAGGTTTAGGGGGTTCGAAATTTTCGAACATATTAGGGCTAAAAACGGTCATCTTCATGGCTATTTGAGCATAATTAAATCACATTTAATTGATTTCAAAAGTTTAATCACATTAAAAATAATAATTAAACCATAATTAAATTAATCTCCCTCTTAATTGAATTAAAATTGTGGACTATCAAAGAATTATAGTCAATATGCGTAAATGCAATAGGCTAACTGATACCACTGTAGGGAATTATAGGTACTACGCAGCGGAAATAAACATGAATCATATTCATACAGTACCTAATCCCAAGATCTAATGCATAACACATAAAGAACATATAATTGTACCTTTGAAGCGTGATTCCACGTGCGATCGAGCAAGAACATTGGGAGATAAAGAACCTCAAGCGTGATTCCTCTACTTGGTCCACGGGCACAGATTAAGACCTCCACTAATGCTAGTTAGTTGCAATTGAACCCTTCAATTGACCTTCTATGGAGAAGTACGAGCAACGAACCACCACGAACCACCGCACGCGCCACCAAGGTGGCCGGCCGTACGGATGAGGGGAGGAGAGAGAAAGTCGTGAGTTAGAGAGAGGAATTAGGGTCTTTGGGATTGGTTGCCTTGATGTCAAATACACTGTGTGAATTATGACGTCTTGCTTGCAACCCTAGGCATGGATCTTATTTATAGATCTCATCTCTAAATAAGAGCCCATGTCAAAAGCCCAAAACCTAATTCTAATCTAACTATGCTAGCCCCATCCATTTCATGATCAGTTAATTGCTCATGAGGCCCATTAATGGGCCCCTAACTTGCTTAACCCAATACCCTTGTGTGTGACCTCATAGGATCCATTCTAGCGGGCTTTGGACCATTTGACTAGCCCAAAGATCATCTCTCATAGTCTAGCAACAGATGATGACGCCCCAAGAGAACGAACTTATTATCTCCATAATAGTGATCCTTGATATATCTAGTAATTGCACTTATCGAAGATACAACTCCTTCAGTCTTGTTTAAAAACAATCGCCCAAATGTTGTATTATTGATGACAATTTTTCCAAAAAAAAAAAAAAAAAAATCCTCAATGCCACATTAGTGAAATTACTGAGTTAACTATTTAAAATACAATTAATACGGGAGAGGAATAGAGACAAGAAAACTAAATGTCAAATTTCTTACCAAGTTTGTGTAATTTTTGTAATCAATTTTGCCCTTTCTCTTAGCTTTTTTTTCCTTTTCTTACCGTCAATCCTATCCTTCTTATTTTTTTTCTTTTGCAAGCCACGTTGAATCTCTTTGTTTAAATATAAGTAAACCCTTGCACTCTATTCTATGCGCAGACACACACACATAAAGAGGAGAGAGGAAGAGGAGAAAGAGAGCATTTGTTCGCTTTAAAACTCAAAAAATTAGAGAAAAAGAGCATTTTTTCACATCGAATTCCAAAAATCTAGAGACCATTTGTTCACTTCAAATCCAGAATATCCTTCTCAAGGTATGCTATATATTTTTTTTTCTTATGCATTTTGCTTTTAACCAAGTTATCTATTGATGTTAGACCATTGAAATTGTTAGGTTGAATTAAAATCAAGACTCGATTTTAATTAAAAGTAGGATAACATTATTCATTAAATTAATTCACATATAAAATTACGAATGACAAATCGGGTCAATGGGTTGGGTTTGGGTAAGATTTTGGGTCTATTTCAAGTTGGGCTTAAAATATATCAAAAATAGTGTAAAATTTATTATTATTACGAAATATGATACATGGGTTAAATCGAATTAAATTCGGATTGTTTGGGTTCAATTCTGGCCAGGTTTGGGTTTCTCTCAGATTTTTTAGTTCGGGTTTGGATCGGGCTATTAGGTCGGGTAAGCGGGTCAAGTTAGGGGTTGCTAGCCCAAGAATGAAGTCTTTGAATATCTGAGAGTTATTAGCAATCTTTTATGAATTATAAATTTTGAAATTGGAATACGAGGATGTGCTGTCTTTCTAGCCTTTTTTGAAATTCCCCAACCAAAAGTCATTAAGGAGATACTGCAACAATCAGTCCACTAATTAATTTTCTAAATTATTTGCAAATTGGATTTATTAATGGAAAATTTTCCAAAAATAACAAGACCTTTCAAAGCTCTTCAAAAATTAAAACGACGTTTTCCTTTGACAATATCTTCCAAAAAATAAAAATCGGCGACTTGTTTTATAGGTTACATTTGACACGTGTCTTATTTTAATTTGTTACGAATTTTTTTAATTTTAGCTTTTTTTTAACAATAATGAACTTATATATATATATATATATATATATATATATATATATATATATATATATATATATATATATACGGGGAGGTTCCGCTAAAAACAGAGCTTATGGTAAAAACTAAAAACAAGCAATCTTAGCCATTCATTAGTAGCACAAAAGATCAGACGGTTCTAAAGTCCTAAGATCATTCCAACCTTACATATAATCAATTCAACCGTTTTAAAGGTTTTTTTTTTTTTTTTTTTTTTTTTTTTTTTTTTTTTTTACAAAGGCAACATTTTAAAAGTCACTACATGCTAAAATAAGGTAACTTTATCTAAATTGACGATATTTACATAGAGTCACTATATATAAAAATAACGTAACTATATACAAAAATAGGGTAGCTATATCAATTTTTACAATATTTACATTAAGGTCACTATATACAAAAATAGGGTAACTATTTCAATTTTGACCAAATTTACATAGAGGTCACTATATACAAAAATAGGGTAACTATAACAATTTTTACAACATTTACATTAAGGTCACTATATACAAAAATAAAGTAACTATATCGACTGAGTTTTTGACACCATTTACATAAATGTCACTATATACAAAAATAAAGGTCACTATATATAAAAATAAGGTGACTGAAACAAAATTTACAACATTTCCATAATTCTAAGGTCATTATATCGAAAATAGGCAACTATATATTAACTTCGGGTAATTATGTACATCACCATCTATGATTGCAGATTCTTGCCTATGAATCACAATGTTCTTATCCTTATTTGCCTTCACTTTCTTCACTTTAAGACCTTCATTTTTATCCAACTTTCTCTTCTTAGCTGACAAAACAATAGCATGTGAAGAAGAAGACTCATTCCCCTTCTTTCCTTCCATCACAGTTGACAAAGGTATAGCATTATCAATAGTAGAAGGTTTCTTTTTCTTAGTGATAGCTTTCTTTTTCAATCCTTTTTCAATACAAGCATCTTTATCTCTGTTAGTATCATCATCAATCATTTTGCTTCAACCATCAATATGCTCTTCATCTTCATCATCGAGATGGATACATGCTAAGCAAATCAGCTAAATAAGAATAAGCATACCAAAAACACACAAGCATATAATTATATATACAATTATCTTCATTTTCATCTAGCAAACAACTAATAACTAAAAAATAATAATCATTGTCATGATTTGACCTTTTTCAGTTACATAGGGAACTAATAATATAGTAACTTTTATATTAATATAGGGACCTACATCCTATAGTATTAGGAGACTATCATAATAGAAGCAACTAGTATATTAACAGGTGTTACTAGTTAGTATTGCTCAAAAATTAACATCATATAATTCAAAAAATTGAATATTAAGGTTAATAATCCAAAAATCAAACATTCATCATACCTCCTGTATCTTTCAATTTAACTCCTCCTGTTAAGCTACGAAGGCCTCTTCTTTTTTTAAAAGTCACACCACCTCTAGTTCTCACCATAGGAATATAATCTAATCCAAATCGAATGAAAATCCTTGTTGCACCCTGTAACAAGACATACGAAAAGATAAACAAAAGAAACCAAAGTAGTTGCCTCTTTTTATAGCATAGTGACCTTTTTTTTTAAACAAAACTTCAAAAAAAAAACATAGTCCAACACCCCTCCAAAACCGGACACATGAAACATAATCACCATCTGGTACAACTAAGCTAGCAACGTACAAGCTAGGAAACAACCAAAGCCAAAACAAACAAAGGCAAACAACAAGACAACAAAACACCACAACAACAAACAAAGCAACACAAATAAGCAAAGACAGGTTGTAAGAGAGGAACACAACAACATCAAGGAACATCAATGCAGGACCAGAGAACAGCCAAGCATAACAGCAGCCCACAACAATAGCAAGCTGAAAAACAAGTAGCCAGCAGGAGGCAGAAGAAACAAAGCTTCACAGAACAACACAAACAGCCTTGCAGCAGAGAGCAGCAAACAGAAGCAAGTCAGCTCCTAGGCAAACACAGCAAGCAGCACAAAGTAGCACAATATAACACAACAAACCCGTGTCAAACCCAAACAAACCAGCATGCAGAAGAAAACAGAGATCACATAGGGCTATACATACACAGACACACACACACACAAATCGCATTTTAGCTATTCGCACCCCAAAACAACCATTAATTTGAAATCAAAATCCGCAAAAATTAGCTAAAATCAGACCCTAAATTCGAACACTAAATCTCTGAAATTCGAAATCTAAAATTGAACTATATATCCGCAAAAAATAAGCAAAAATCGAACCCTACATTTGCAATAATCGAACTAAAAAAAAAAAAATCAAACTCCATGCAAAATTCTTAAAATCAAATCAAAAAAAATCGAACTCAGGAGCAGCAAACAGAAGCAAGTCAGCTCCTAGGCAAATACAACAAGCAGCACAAAGTAGCACAACAACACATCTAACCCCTGTCAAACCCAAACAAACCAGCACGCAGCATGAATAGAGATCACATAGGGCTATACATACACAAACACACACACATAAATCGCATTTTAGCTATTCGCATCCCAAACCGCCATTAATTCGAAATCAAAATCTGAAAAATTTAGCTAAAATCAAACCCTAAATTCGAACACTAAATCTCTGAAATTCGAAATCTAAAATCGAACTATAGATCCGCAAAAATAAGCAAATTGCAAAAATCGAACTCAAAAAAATCAAACTCCATGCGAAACTCTTAAAATCAAATCAGAAAAATCGAACTCATGCAAAATTCATGAAAATCGAATAGAAAAAACGCAAATATCAAATCACAAAAATCGCTGAAAATTCGTGAAAAAACAAACAAATTGTCGAATATAATCATACCTGAATTGTGATATCTAGAGTTTTTTTCGCCAAAATTTGCTCTTAACACAGTAGAGAGAGTAACAGGGAAGCTGGTTGAAGAGAGATAAAGTACGAAAGAGGAGAGAATAAAGAGGAGAGAGAAAATAACGTGAAAATTAAGGAGGAGAGAGAAATTCACTAATGTCTGAAACAAGAGGAAAGAAATTCAGTAATGTCTGAAAAATAAGAGGAAAGAAATCTCAGCTATACAATTTGATGAACGGCTCAGATTAAAAGTTTTCAGTTTTTATTTTAACACTTGTTTTTACATGATCCTATTCCTATATATATATATATATATATATATATATATATATATATATATAAACTAAAACAACAAACACTACCCTTTTCCCGTGGCCATCCCTCTACCTCCACCTCCACCACGAACTCTCCGAGAACCATCCAAACCCAACCAGCTACACCCAACACCACCCTCAAAACTGCCCTCCTTCCCACCCCCATACTCGAAACAAACCCATATATTCCCACCCATCACCTTTGAAATCGCCGTGAAACCACCACCCTCCATCCTAACCGCCGTGAAACCACAGCTCCACCTTGGAATCCAATTGAAACTCTAATCTATAGGAAAAGAGAGAGCTCACGTGAAGGAGAGGGGAGTGCTAGTATTTGGGATGTGGTAGGGTAGGGGGACGCAATCAGGGATGAGGTAGGAAGTGGGGGTGGAATCGGGGACGGGGATGGGCACGGGGGCCGAGAACGGGGACGAGAATGGATTGACGCTAATAAAGGAGACGGAGAGAAGCCTGACGCTGGCGGGAAGGGGTGGGACGATGGCAGTGGAGTATGATGGCATATCATTGTTGGAAAATTTTCATTTATTAATTGACCTTGTATGTCATCCCTCTTACTTTAGTTTATGCTATATATAACACCCATAGTCTAGACCCCCAAAGTCATATATTTTCACTTTATTTAACACATTGCCCCAACTAAACATCTCATTTCGGTTTTGTCTATTTTTTTTTAACTCACCTTAAATAAAATAAATTGTGTTATCTTATTATTTTTATTTTTTTTAGTTAACTATCTTATTTTATTTATTTATTTGTAATATTCATCAAATTTTGTCATCTTAATATTTATTCACTTTTCTACAATTGTGTGAAAAGAGAGATACTACTTTTATTTGAGGACGAGGGGTGGGGGAGAAAGGATTTTGTTGACACCTCATCATCTCGTATTAGAAAACATATTGACTTTAATTAGTTGTCCCTTTTTTCGACTTTCTTTATATCAAAAAGGATAGAAACTTTGTCTCTAAACATCTTGATATATTAGTGTCATTGGTACTGAGCAAATTGATATGGATTGATGCATTCAAACCATAACTTCAAATGTTCTTAGCCAAACACGATTAAGGGGTTTTTAAGCAGATTGAAAGAGTTAGGATTCTCTGCCATTTCTCATAGACTAAGAATGGATCGGAAGTAAATATTTTAAATTATGTTCACTAATGATTTAAAATTAGGTGTCACGAATTTAATTTGATACAAATGTTTTAAATTTGGTTTCACTCACATAAAATAAGCTTGTGTATTCTACGTATTAGAGTCACATTCACCATAACTTAATAAAGATACAAATTTGGAATTTCGATTATTATTTTAGTAATCACGCAAAAATGAGATTACAATATAACATATACAAAATAATGTTAATTAAGGAAACAATCAACCTTGAATATATATAGAAAATGTACGCTTAAAAATTTCTTATATGATCACCGAAAATTATGGAAACAAACATTTGTGGTCGTTACGGTGGGGTCTAAAATGGTGTAAGCGAGTGGATAGTTTCCAGGAATTAAAACAAACCAACTTTCTAACAAATTTTTAAAACAAATGAATAAAAACTAGGAAACAAACATTTATGATGTTCAGAATGGGGCGTCCAATATTCGAATAAAAATTAAAATCCAAAGTTTTCAAACTGAATTAGTAATTCAAACAAGTTTAATTTAATTGATTTTTTTTAAAAAAATAATAAATAAATAAAAAAAAACTGGAATTTTTAGATCGGATTAGATTGATGAATGGTACGATTTTGGATCAAATTAAACTGAATAAATAGAAATTTTCTACAAGTCTAATATCATTTTTTAAATTACTTGAATAACAACATATAAAACAAATAAGGTACCACAACTCATTTACTCAATAATCCCATGACATATTTTGAGATTATGGGCCAATTTATTATTATTATTTTTTAATTTTTTTAATAGCAATTTTCTGTATTATTTTATCTATATGTGTTTTAATTTAAAGAGGTCATTTGGCCCAAAAATGGTAATTTATGTTAATTTAGATTTCAGATTGAGTTGGATCCAAAATACTAAATTCTAATTCGGACTGCATTTTGAAAAAGTTAGATCAGATTGGACTCAACATCAAATTGGACTCAAATAATACTATTCAAAATCAAATTTTTATTTAACTAAATGTAGAATAGACACCCTTACTGTGTCAAAAAAAAAAAGAATAGACACCCTTACAGGTGATCTATACATATAAAGTTCGGTTAGAGATTGGAATTTGGGTTATGTGGAGTTAGGTCTAATTATTTATTTAATTTTTTTTAAGGAAGGTCTAGTTAACTTATTACATTCTCATGTAAATAGGCAAAATGAAATTTTCAAATAAAAGTATTAATTTAATATGTAAAATCATTAGTAATAAATATTAAATTAAAATTATACTCTGTGCTTAATTAAAGCAATGCAAATCAAAATTACAAATGAAATAAGAAACAAAAATACTTAAAAGAAACAAAGATTGAGAATTGCCACCGGCGAAGTTCAATGGAAACCCCTTCAAAATTAACAATGGAGAATATAATATAGGAGAGAGAAAAGAGGGATAGGATACTACGTTTTTCTTTTGCATTGTTAGAATCTGAAGTATATGATTAATTAGTTACATCCAATTGTGCACCCTTCATTTAATTGGGCTAATCCGAATTCGGGGATCAGTTCTGAATAGTTAGGTTCTAATCTCATCCCAATTGTTGTTGTGGAGGATTGAACACGTGATCCTCCTTATGAAATGTAATCTCAATCACCACTGCATCAACTACCAATTGGTAATATTAATAATTATATTGACTCTATAAAGACCTTGTTTATTAAAGATGTTGTCTAATAAAACCAATTCTCTTGACCCCTATTCTTTTATTTAGTTATTAGATTACCCTGTTCAATAACTAGGTTGAGACATTGAGTAGTTGTATTACCCCCAATCATAATCCCCTAAATTGTACATTTATATGAGAAAATCTAATTTTATCATTAGAATAAACAAAATTCGTTTATCAAGGTACCTAAATACAAATTTGTATTTCTTTTTTCTTTTTTTAGTTGACACGTTTTGACTTTTAACACAACTCACAAACTTTACTTTGACTAGCAATTGATAAAACAAAGTCCTATGGGATCTTGTTTGAATCGTATAAATTCATAAACTGCAATAACTAGTCAAAGCAAAGTTCGTGAATTGTGTCAAAAGTCTAAGCATTTCAACTACAAAAATCTAAATAGTACTCGTACCAAAAGTAAAAACGCATCAATCTAAACATTATTAATATCAAATGTATGTGTACTAACATGATAAAAGAAACATGTCAACTTAAAAACGGTTGAAACATTATTTTGGGTAAAAATAGGTAAAACCTAGAGGTGATTAAAAAAATCAGGCCAGGCCGGGCTGGACCTTAACATGATACCTCGTACCCAAATCCGTAAAAAAGTAGTGGGCTTGTCGGGCTAAAACGGGTTTTTTCAAGTTTATTTCTGTCCAAATTTGAGCTTTTAACTAATAATATAATTTCTGATCGGATCAGGTCACACTAGCGGATCCGATGTTGATCACCTCTAGTAAAACAACATGTTTGTAATTTTTATTTATCCAATTTTTACCAAAAAAAAAAAATAAAAATAATTTTGCCACTTTATAATAAACAAAATTATCAATTATCATGGAATATTAATCTAATCTCCATAACAAAGTGCATAAAGTATTATGGGGTTATTTAAGTAATTTGATCCACCGTTGCTTGTTTTACTCCTTTCACGTGGAATTATGAGGCTTATGCAAGTACCAACAACCCAACTCCACACCTTCACACCTTTCTCTCTTTCTCTCTCTTCTCCCTCTCTTTCTCTCTCTAAAATTCCAACTCTAATTTCTCACGATATTTCCATTTTTATACTTTTAAATAATCTTTTTTTATCTTTCAAAACCAAAATTATTTTTCTTGTGGTATATTTACTTGTAATTGGTTTCTTTTCTTGTTTTTTTTATTAGTGCCCCAAATTTCATTCCAAATTTATCCAGAGGACCAATTTTAATAAGGTTAGCAAGATTTGTTATTGATCTGATTTATTATTACTGCCCATTAAACATAACATATTAAACAAAACATTTGTGATTCGCCCGTAATCAAATTAAAATCACGGGTAAAAACACGCGAGGTTCCGATCCGGTAGGACATTTGTGACTTATCGCGTTTTGCTTACCATATAACATTGGTTTTGTTGCTTTCTGGAGAAAAAGAAAAAAAAAAGAAAGAGGAAGAGCATGAATAAGAACATACCCAAATAAATTAGGCTAACACGTTTTATCCCTCATATAATTAATAACAAGTACTAGTACACAAATTTTTATTTTCCTTTTTTTGGATCAGAACTTTGAAAGTGGGTGGCAGAATCCCCAATTTTTTTTTTATTGGGTTTTCTAGGGTTTGTAACAACAACAAACACTTTTAATACTAATAGGGATTTTTGCCTAATTCTTCAACATATTGAAGGCCACATCACAGCACCAATAATTTTTTTGTTTCCAGAATTACCCTTATCCTAACCGTGTCTGAATTGGGTTTTTCTCTCTCCTGTTTTTACCTTTTTCAAAAATAAATAAAATTAAAAAAAATAAATCAGCCCAATTTGATCCAAATTCATTATTTCCTGGTTTGATGCTTTCTGCAATTTAATGGGTTTTTTTTTTCTAATTTGAGATTTTCTGGGTTTTTCTGGGTAGAATATTATTGATAGAGGTGTTAGGGTTAGATCTGACAATTTCTTGTCAATCCTGTTTTCTGATAAATAATAATAATATTTTTTTTGTTATATTTGTTTATCTTTTTATCTGGGAATTTACTGGGACTGAAGTTTTTGTTTCTGGGTTTACCAAAGTGTGTTTGTAATTATCAGAATCAGGGTTGTGGTCAATGCAGTGTTTCAGCAGCTTGGCTTGGTCAACCTGATATTCAGATACTTTTAGATCAAGATTATGTAAGTCCCCATTAAATTAATTAATCATCTGATATGTATATGTTCATCAGAAATTCTGCCTTTGTTCTGTAAGTACATGCAGTCATTGATAATGTGAATATTCCATAATTAGGGATGTTTAGAATCATAATTTTGACATGGTGGTTTTCTGCAAGAAAGGATTATTTTCTGATGGGTAATTCCTGTCAAGAAAAACAAAAAATTCAGTTTGCCTTTACTGGATTCCGATGTTATGGATATTCAGATGTGTTCTGAATTTCTGATTTCAGGATATGATGTACATACAGTATTATATATAATTTGGATTCCATATAATTTGCAGTTTGGTAATCCAGATTCAGAAATATAGATCTGCTGCAAAACTGAACTGATGATCAATTGTTATCCATCAACAATGTTCTAGGATTTGTCGAATCGTTATGAGTCTGCAGGTCCAAAATTTGTTAATGAAAACCTCGAGTATCATGATCTATGCCGAGCTAGGTCATGTATTAAGTTATCAAAGTAGGATTTTCGGCTGTATTTATCTTCGTTGGATTATTTTTGCTTTTCTAGTACTGGAACAAATTTTTCATGTGTTGGCCTCATATCCTGTAGTGATCTCTGACATTTGATATAATCTTTGCTTTTATAGCTTTAATGGTCTCGTCTTGCCTTAGTCTTTACCTCTACTTAGTTCAGAAATCTGTACATATGTATCCCCTTTTTGCTGAGTTTGCTAATGTACATTGCATGCTGTATTGCTGTTTGATACTTTATTTCTTGGGTTTCTTGTTGCAACCTGTCTTTAGAAGATATTCATTGGAACCATTTATTGACTCCAAGCATTTTCATGTGATGAATATTTGCAGCTTTTATGGGGACTGAACTTCTTAGAGCTTGTTTGAAGGAAGAGGATCTTGATTTTTTGGCAGTTCCACCTGGTTTTGAGTCTTTCACGTCTTTCAAGTCGAAGACGTTGGAAAATGCTGACAGTGAACCCTGCTGCTCAGTTTCTTCAAATCTTTCGCGACAAGAACCTGTAGATGTAAAATCCGAAGCTGGATACCCTGGTGGGGGAAAGATTACAAGGTCCCTGAGGCGTAGACCGTCCATGAATTATGGTCGATACAATCAGTGTTCTGATGAAGAGTCTGATTGTGAAAAGCTTGATCAGGTGATTCCCTTAATGTCTTTGTGTAGCGTATTGTCAGCACTTGATTCTGAGTTTCTGAATGTCGCTGTGGTTTATTTTTCTGACATCTATTTGTCACTTGTCTGTGCAGAACTTCCCTACAAAGCCTGGCCTCCCAAAAGGAGTCATCCGTGGCTGCACCGACTGTCAAAATTGTCAAAAGGTTTGTTTTGGCTATGGCCCTTTGTCTTCGTTACCACATTTCTACTCAACACCGCGGTTTTAAAGTGTATAGTTGATTACTGTGAAAAATGTACGAGTGTTTCTGATGTTTTTCAGCATGTGTTTGCAGAAAGGTTCTAACCGTTGCCCTTTGTTGGTTCAAACATATAAGTAATTCTTTTATGACTTCAATTCTGTTACAGGTTATTGCAAGATGGCACCCTGAAGGTTCATGTAGGGCTGACCTAGAAGAGGTGCCTGTGTTCTACCCAAATGAAGAGGTCTCTATGTTGTGATAACTTTATTTTTCCTCACCATGTCATATATATCCAGATATCCTGGCACATATTTTTATCCCAGTTGTTTGAAGGTTGGATGCTTTGATCTTCTGCAGGAATTTAAAGATACAATAAGGTATATCGAAAAGATACGCCCAATAGCTGAAATTTATGGAATTTGTCGCATTGTTCCTCCTCCATTGTGGAAACCTCCCTTTCCTCTTAAGAAAAAGGATATATGGGAAAAGGCCAAGTTTGTGACTCGTGTACAGAGAGTTGACAAACTGCAGAATCGTGATGCATCTAGAAAACAATCCAAGGTTCATAATAATGCCAGGAAGAAAAGGAGAAGATGTTCAAGAATGGATGTAGAGTTTGGGCCTGGGAATGGAAAAACCTTGGAGCTTGGGGAAACTGAATTTGGCTTCGAGCCTGGCCCAGAATTCACTCTTGATGAATTCCAGAAATATGCTGATGATTTTAAGTTCCAGTATTTCAGAAATGAAAACTGTACAGAATCAGGTACGGATAGGGACAGATCTACTCATAATTGGGAGCCATCAGTTGCTAATATAGAGGGTGAATATTGGCGACTGGTTGAGAAGCCTACCGATGAAATTGAGGTGGGATGATATTTTTGGCAAACTTTCTCATCAATAATATTTTATTGTTTGGGGTGGGTTGGGGCTTGTTAAACTCTTGTTGATTTACTAACTGTAAGTTGGTACTGGGATATCTTTTCAGGTTCTTTATGGGGCTGATCTGGAGACCGGAGTTTTTGGTAGTGGCTTCCCGAAATTCTATGATCAAGGCTGTTCAGCTGATGAGGATTATGTGAAATCTGGATGGAACTTGAACAATTTACCTAGACTTGCAGGTTCCGTTTTATCTTATGAAAATGCAGATATATCAGGTGTTCAAGTGCCGTGGTTGTATGTCGGAATGTGCTTTTCCTCATTTTGTTGGGTGAGTGCATAGTGATGGCTTTAATTCTTTCACAATCCTAAGATATGCTTCTATTTAGTGCAGAAATTTGTTTTCACTGAATGCATGTTGTCAGGAATTGTTAAACATGAGAAACTTGTTACAAAAGATTAAATAGAGGGGAGGGGAGAGGAGGGGAGGGAGGGAGAAATACTCTTGTTGGGGTATATAGCTGTTCAGTTGGCTTATTTGACATATTGATGCTATGCTGGAGTGGGAAAAGAAATTTTCCCGTGGATTGAAATTAAAAGAATCTATGGGGTTACAGTAATTTATTTAATTCAAAGATAGCATGTCATGTCTTTGTGTTTTTTTTATTGACTTTTTTTTCCATGTGTAACATAATATAGTAGGCTTGTACTGCATGGTTTTTCCTAATTGCCTTTTTTAGACATTTGTAACTGATTTGTTTTTATCCTTTTATATGAGTAGCATGTCGAAGATCATCATCTGTATTCTCTGAATTACATGCATTATGGGGCTCCAAAAATATGGTATGGTGTTCCTGGGAGGGAAGCCGTTAAGCTGGAGGAAGCAATGAAGAAACGGTTGCCTGATCTGTTTGATGAGCAGCCTGACCTCCTCCATAAGTTGGTGAGCTTCTATCTAATCTGAATTTCTTTTTTTTTTGTTGGCTGTTGTTGACTTGTTGGAGGTGCAGAGGTTATGTTCTTTTTTTGGGTGGGAGGGGGGGGGGGTGGTGAAGGTGTGAAGGGGGAATAAGAGAATTGAATGATGAAATAGATAAGAGGAAATAGAATGAGATTATGTTTCTTAGGACTAATAGCATGTACAGATTAGAGGGCATCCTCTCTTCTTGAAAAAAGAGAAGAAAGCTGGTCAAAGATTTGTAATACACTCTAATATCTGGCATTTGAGGGATCAATTTTCTGGAATATGTTTGAGGGGTTATTCCAAAGTGAAGCCAAGTAACTCTGTCCCAAAGTAATTTATTGGAAACACTGCGAGAGATTCTCAACTCTGCTTTATTCATGTGAATCGTAAAAGCATTGCAGCTCCATTATAAATTAACCTTCTTCATTCTCCTAACCAATTCTATTCGATTGACATAAATTTTCATGGAAAGACCAGAATTTCCCTTGTGACATTGCATGTTATATCCAAAATTGGCAAAATACATCAAGCATAATGAATACAGTCATCGGTTCTAATTAGTTTGTGTACTGCTATTAGAGGAAATTAATGTTGCATAACATTCATATATATCTCTTTAAGCAAAATAGTATATGTACATATATTTTTAATTTTTTTATTTTTTTTGATATATTTTTATTATTGCTATTATTTATCTGCGCCCTTGATATGTTTTGAGTGTATTTTAAGAATGTCATAATGTTTGTCCAATCTGTGCAGGTTACCCAACTTTCTCCATCCATCTTAAAATCAGCAGGGGTGCCTGTCTATCGGTGTGTGCAGAATGCTGGAGAATTTGTCTTGACTTTTCCTCGGGCATATCATGCTGGGTTTAATTCCGGGTTCAACTGTGCTGAGGCAGTGAATGTAGCTCCTATTGATTGGCTTCCTCATGGACAAAATGCTGTGGAGCTCTATCGTGAGCAGCGACGAAAAACAACTATCTCTCATGATAAATTGTTGCTTGGAGCAGCCAGGGAAGCAGTAAAAGCTAACTGGGAGCTCAATTTGCTCCGAAAGAACACAATAGATAATTTGAGATGGAAGGATGTCTGTGGCAGGGATGGTATCTTGGCAAAAGCTCTCAGGGTATGTTATATTTGTATCACTTCCTCTTGAAAGCAATGAATGGTAGAGCCAGCAGGGCTCCTCCCACCCCCCCCCCCCACCCCACCCCAACACACACACACACACACAGCATTACTGCTGAGGCCTCTTTCCCCTACAATGCTGCAATGAAGTCTGTTTAGGATGGCAGAAGACAGATACAGGCCAAAATTTAAACAGTTCAGTAGCATATCTAGCTGCGATTCTATAGTTTATTTAGATTTTATAAATTGAGTCTATTATATGCAAAGATGGCCCCTTTAGTTATGGTTGGGTGATGATACATGATTTTAAAAAAAAGGTTATATCAGCACCTCTTAACTGGTGTTACAAGTTTATGACTAAGGAAATTAAAATGTGGGCCACTATTCCACTAGGCCTTTTGATTTTTTTTTTTTCAAAGTCCGAGATGGCCTATATGTCAAAACTTGAATAAGTGGTTACATAGTCCGGATCCGATGAAAATTAGGTAAAGTTCATCATCATAAGTTGAGTGGTATTTTATAAAAGTCTTAACGGATTTTTTATTTCAGCTATTTCTGTGACTACTGTTAGGTTTTTATATTGTTATTTCCCTCTATGAAAGCCTCGCTTGAATTTGCATCTAGTGTGAGGGATAGCATTGAATAGTTAATAGTGTTGTATATTTACTTGTTAATATATTCTTCTTGCATTCTGCCTGCCTTCATCTTTGTTGCTGTTGAATGAAGAGAAGTATGTTGAACGATGATCCACTTTGTTTATAATTGTCAGTCTGTAAGATCTCAAATAAGTTTTATACGTTTTCCAAATTCAACTGTGTAGCTTATATCCTGTGGTTGCTTTTTAAAAAATAAAATTGAACATAAAACTTTTTTTGCTGTGGTTTTTGGCTAAAATCTAAATGACAACTGGAAATGATTGGGTTAACCATCTCTTCCTGCAGGCACGTGTTGATACAGAGAATGTAAGGAGGGAATTTCTGTGCAAATTTGCCAAGGCTCTGAAGATGGAGAATAGTTTTGATGCCACTACTGAGAGGGAGTGCAGTATATGTTTCTTTGATTTGCACCTGTCTGCTGCTGGATGTCGTTGTTCCCCAGATAGATTTGCATGTTTAAATCATGCAAAACAATTGTGCTCATGTGGTTGGGATGGAAAATTTTTCCTCTTCCGTTATGATGTTTCAGAATTGAATCTCCTGGCTGATGCTCTGGAAGGCAAACTTAGTGCCATTTACAGATGGGCCAGACTTGATCTTGGACTTGCCTTGAGTTCTTGCATCTCCAAAGATAATGGACAAATTGTGGGGCTTAATGGTGCAAATTCAGAGCATCCAGGTGAAAGTACTATATGCAAGGCAAACTCACAACCTATAACGTTTAAAAATAAAGAAGACATTGCAAGAATTCCAGCTGATTTGGCTCTGAGTGATGTAAAGATGTCTTTGGTGGAAAAGGGGAAGTTCCCTGATGCTGTACTGGCCTTAGAAGCAACAAAGGTCCCTCCCATCAAATTGTCCCGCCAAATTAAGCGAAAGAGTGACAAACAACAGATCAGCAAAGATGAAGTGGAACATCCAAATAAGAGGTGCGCTGTACTGGAACTTCAGACGAAGCCATCTTCACATGGGCAAGAGGATCTGATATGCCTTAGTGATGATGAGGATGAGCAATCCAATAAAGCATATTCTGATGCAAATAAGGAAACAATTAGTCAGGATAGTCCAAATGTTCCTGAGATAGAGGGATCAGATCATAAGCTGAATCTTTGTGATCTAGCTAATGCAGCCTTGGCTGCTGAAGCCAATTTAAATTTGATCTCCGATGGGCATAAAGATGATTGTATGTCTTGTTCAACATCCCCTAATGATGATGCTAATGTAAAATGTGAAACAGTTGCTCTATCCGATGAACATAATCTTTCCTGTCATCAAGGTTCTATAGGTTCCAGTATTGAGAAAAGGGATCCAGATGCCTCCACTCCTGACAGCTTACTTCAAAATACAGCATGCGCTCCCAATGTGGGCTATGGCATTAAGTTTAGGGATGAATGTGTTGTGCAGAGAGTTCTTGACGACGCAAGGATTCTTCCAGGGAGCCCATCTTGTAGTCAGAGTAGCGTTGACAAATATCCTCGCCAGAAAGGTCCACGCATTGCAAAAGTTGTGCGGAGAATTAACTGCAATGTTGAGTTGCTGGAAGTCGGGGTTGTGATTCCTGGAAATCTATGGAGCACCAGCAGAGCCATTTTTCCGAAAGGTTTGTTTCATGTGCTATCTACATATTATCCTACTTATTTCTGGTATCTTTTACCTAATAATGGAAATAATTTTCTTCTGCAGGGTTTAAAAGCCGTGTCAGATATATAAATGTCTCAGATCCCACAAATATGTGCAGCTACAACTCTGAAATTCTAGATGGAGGAGCGAAAGGACCGCTATTTATGGTAATATGCAATTTTCAGTTATTCAAATCAAGTTTTGCATGTTAAAAAGTGCTACGAAGTATATGTTTCTAAAAAACAAAAAAAGTATTTGTTTCTAATGTTTCAAAAAAAAAAAATGTTTCCAACTCATGCTAAGAAATTGAAGGTTTTGTTCTGTTTTATATTTTAAATTGTGGCCACCTTTCAGCTTTGGTATGACCAGCTTGATACTTGTTTAGTTGTTTATGCTTCAAAAGTTCTGACAATTGTTTTGTATCTAACTCTATTGTTGCTGTATTAATATTTTCAGGTTTCCTTAGAGCATATGCTGAGTGAATTATTTGTCCACACTTCACCTTATAAATGCTGGGAAATGGTTCGTGAAAGAGTCAATCAGGAGATCACTAAGCAGCATAAACTGGGAAAAGTGAAGCTTCTTCCCCCTCTGCAGCCACCTGGCAGCTTGGATGGACTTGAAATGTTTGGTTTTACCTCTCCGGCTATTGTTCAGGTATAATCTTCTTCAATTGTCTTACTACAAGCTAAATTGAGAAGTTAAATAATGATTTTTAATCTTTGACCATAATTATCGGAATACAACTGAATTTTTCATTCTGCGTTTTGGTTGATTGGCAGACTGTCTTAAGTTTGTAGAGATATTAGCAATAAACATTTTCTTTTTTCACTTTTGTCTCTATAAGTTATGCAATTGTGCTGTCACTTTGTTTGGTCTTATGCCTTTGTGGTGAGCATGGGGTTGAGGACATATTATCACATTTATCAGACATTCATATTGCAATTTGTGGTTGCTGGTCTAATTACGGAGTATTTGTGAGTCATGAGCTTTTGACTACTGTATACTTGTGTCAAAAAAAAAAAGAAAAAGAAAAAAGTAGTAGTACTCATGTCAAATGCAATTGTTGTTCAACAGGTTATTGAAGCATCAGACAAAAACCGTGTGTGTGCAGAGTATTGGAACTCTCGGCCTCTTGCACAGATTTCACAGTGTTTTCTATCTAGAGGAAACAACCTAAATCCTAGTAATAACTTGGAAGGAGCAATGGTAGGAGGGTCTGAAACAATACTCAGGGGACTATTTAAGAAGGCAAACCCTGAAGAATTACATTCACTAATGGCAATTTTGGGCAATAACCAGAGTCACGTGACTCGTGTTCTAAACGAGGAGATTGAGAACCGATCAAGGTAGTATAGCATCCAGTCTCAAGGGGATATTACATAATGGCAGATGAACCTTGAGACTGGAGGTCGTCTGTTAGATTGATTTGTAAATTCTTCGTAGCGTTTTTACATCATTTTACTTAGTTTTTTTAAAAGAAAATAGCAGTGACAGAAGAAGCTGGAAACTTATCCTTTGGATACCCCATTTTTCTTTCCAGTCTTCTTAAAGGGTGGGTTTGGTGGATAATTTTTTTTTTGGTTAACTCATTAGGATCCCATTTTTAGTGCATAAAATAATTTAAATGGAGATTTAATTGCAAATTACATTAATTGGAATTTCTTGCTGCATCCTATGCAGCGTTTTGAACTAATTATAAGGTGCCAACATGAGTATGAGCAAACCCTTTTATCTTGTATTCTATATGCTACTAATTTTAATTAGACTTGTGACAAGTTAATTAGTCAAGAGTATATGATTTGTTGTGAAATTAAATTGAATGATCAAGTATTTCATCAACCGAATATGATTTCAATTCATTATGTGTTGATTTGATTGATACGTTTTGCCTCTATATCCACTTGCCTGTATACAAGCTTTGATAATTTCAAAGGACTGATAGATAAATTCATGTAAATAACAGGAATAAATAGGACTGGCTTTGGTTTGATTTATAACAAATCATCCAATGATATGTCATGCACGTTTCAAAAATGTAATATTCATAAATGTTTTAGTTATGTGATTCGTTAATTGATAAATAAACGTAAATAAAAATAGAAAAATACTATTTAATAATTTCAACTATTGGCGATTTATTTCTAATAGTCATAACTATTGGCAATTATTATCTAATAATCCCAATTATGCTTTGTGTATGCATCCTATTAAAAGTGTTTTTTTTTTTTTTGTGGGGAGGGGGGGATTTTAATAACCTTGTGGCAACATGTGATTTGCCAAAATAAAAAAAAAATTTAAAACTCAAAAAAAAAAACCAAAATTCTCAGCCACCTTACTTCACCGCCAAACCCTAGCCCTAAACACGTTGAAAAACGTTTGCCCACCCCCTTAAGTAAGGATGACAATCCAGTCCGGATCCGACCCTACTCTGCCCTGATCCAAGGTAAAAAAATTCGCTCTGAATCCAAGAAAAAAGTAATTCGAGTTCGACTCCGTTAAAATAATCCGACTCCGAGTCGGATCCTACAAAAAATCCGAGAAAAAAATCCGACTTCGACAAATGTTCAACTTTGACGGATTATCCGACTCCAATAGATAATGTATTTTTGTATGGGTCATGGTGGCATTGGATGTGGGTTGTAAAGGCCCAAATAGCCCAATTTCTCAAAGTATATTGAATAACCAAAAAAACTCGGAATCGGATCGGATCGGAGTCAGAGGTCGGATAATGAAGTCAGAGTCTCAGAGTCGGATGTCGGAGTCAAATTTAGCCTCCAACTTCCTGTCGGGTCAGAGTCGGATTTAGCATAATCCGCTCTGAGTCTGACCCGTTGCCATCCCTACCCTTTAGCCACCGAAATCGGCTGACCGTCCTTCTACCACCCAATTTGACCTACCCTCGACCCTCAAACCTATCCACCACCGACACACATCCAAGAAACACTACATCATCAGCAATCAACTCGATCATCGACAGGCCCCTCAATCTTCTCTCTCACTGTCAGTAATCGTGATTTGCTCTGTTCTTGCGGGTTGCTGTTGATGCTTGTGCGCCGTCATAGAGCTTACAACGAGATTGGGTCAAAATTGTGGATGCTCTGCAAATTGTGGTTGTGATTGGTGGTAATTGGTGATGGCCAAAATTATTGGGCTGCAATTTTGGTGCAGCTGTGACAGTGGAGTTTGGTGGTAATGGACGAGCAGCAGCTGTTTGGTAATCGGGCGTGACGTAAACTGCTGTTGGGCGGTGATTGTGATGTTTTCGGCGTTGAAGATGCGGAGTGGCTAAGAGGTGGAGGCATGTAGTGGTTGGAGTTGTTGTGGAGCGCTTGTGGTGTTGTTAGGATTGGGGAAGGTGGTTCAAGGAAAGGGGAGGGCTGGGTGTCCGGGCTTTGGGTCAGGATGGTACCGCTGGCAGCGGGTAGGTCCTCTAGCCACCAACAAGGGTAACAGGTGGTGGTGGGGTTGCTAACGGCAAGGGGTGAGAGATTTTCCTTTTTTTTTTTTTAATTTCAGTTTTCTTTTATGTTTTAATTTTATTTTTTAAATTTTGGACCAATTACGTGTTAACACGCGTCATAGTAACCTACTATAATAGGTTGTTGACTTGGTATGACCGATTGGGATTATTGGAACCTTGGAGGCAAACACATAGCATAGTTGAGATTATTAGATAATAAATATTAGTTGAGATTATTAAAAGTAAATCGCTAATAGTTGATACTATTAGATAATAAACATTAGTTGGGATTATTAAAAGTAAATCGCTAACAGTTGAGATTATTAATGTAATACCCTGAAAATTCCATTCTTTGAAAATACACAATCTATTCTAAATAAAACTCTTTTTAGGAAATATCCAAAATATTACCGCCACCGTAATAACGACTAAGGCTATTTTTCAAAGTTACACGGCGGAAGACTAAAATAAAAACCAATTTTAAAAATAAACTTGAGTTCACAACCTCAAAACAAAAATAAAATTTAAATAGTTCACAAGTTGGAACCAATCCAAACATGACCCTTTTTAAAATCCAACTCAAAAATCAATAAACATAATAATGTTAGACCATAAACAATAATCCAATACACCAATAACTCAAAATACACAACTATGAAAGCATAGCAAGTAATTCTCTACACCAATTCCCTTCATACTCTTCATGCTTCAAGTACCTGTCACTTCTTCTTTATTTCAACCCTCTACTCATCATATAAATGGGTCATAGTAGGGGAAACCAAAGGAAAGCCAAACAAAAACACAAAAAGTAAGAATCACCAAAAGCTGAGTACATATTAGGGGTGTTCAAAAATATCCGGTCCAAAATATCCGATCCGAAATTTTGGATATCCGATCCGGTTTTTAAGGTTTCGGATATTTCGAATCGGATATCCGAAAAAAATTTCGGATTTTCGGATCGGATACGGATCGTATTTTGTCCGAAAATTTTAACTACCCGATCCGAAAACCAAACTATCCGATCCAAAAATTCGGATATCCGAAAATTTCAGATCGGATTCGGATCGCAATTTCTCCGATCCGGAAATTTCGAATATCCAAATTTTCGGATCGAATCGGATCGGATATCCGAAATTGAACAGCCCTAGTACATATGCACCACACTAACATGAATATCCTATCATCAATAAAAAATAATTAAAACATGCTCCCCATACAATCATAAATCAACTTACCTTTGACTCAAAACTACCAATGTTAATTATTAAAGAATATCTTTGGATTACGCATTAAACGAGTTTCCTTCCTTAACAATCTCAAAGAAGATGCTCCCCAACAGATGATCGTGGAAGCAGCTCTCCACCAGAACTCAAGCGATACCACTCCCAGGAGGAAATTTAGAGATGAAGCTCTCAACAAGTTGTTCGAAAACAGCATCCCCAAAGACAAGCTCCTCGACAACAACGAAGATCCAGCTCCAGAATCAACAAAGATTCAAGAAGTCAGCTGCGTCAACGGCGCACTAGAGACTCAAGATAGTTTAGGATTTTCTAATTTTGTTTGTAACTCTTGTAAGTCGACTAGGTCGTCGACAACTTAAGTGGGGGAGGATGTCAGAATCTGACTCCTTTTGATGTACTAGATTCCCTTTAGGTGCTTTTTTAGAGTTTACTTTCTGTTTTCTAAGCCTGAGGTCCCATTATTGTATTGCTGTCAGTTCAGTGTTCACTAGGACGTTTAATTTTTAATAAAATATAGTATAAAATGGTTTAACGGTTTGATGGTCTAAACCGCATCAAAGTGCGGTTTGGACTAAATTTTTTTTGGAAACTGCAGCAAACCGCACAAAATCGCACCACACTGCATTTTTCAAACCGCAAACTGCACAACATTGCAAAACACGGTTTGTTCATTTTTGGAAAACGCACCGCATTTTTCAAACCACAAACCGCACAAAACTGTAAAATTGGACATGACCAATGTACTATTTGGGTTCAAATTCCCTCAACTTTAGGTAGTGTTGGAAATAAAATGCAAGTCAAACTTTCTTTCCCTCATGTGTTTCACTCACCTTCCCTTCCAACATATAATTCTTGGTCCTACATTGGCTACATATCTAGAATTTACATTAGCTATCGCCTATGTTACTTGGACTCTTTATCTTACAACTATCCATGTCAGATTCTTGACACTGAGACATAGGTAAATCACTTATTCAACACTTCATTTTGGACCAGAATTATGAAATCATTGCAAAAATTAGCCAAAGTATACACTTGCGCATGTATTTTCATTTGACATGGGTATCGAGTTTGAGTAACATAGGGTGTCATTAATTATTGCCAGAGCGCAAATGGTAAATTCTAGTGAACCCCTGGATTGAATATGGTATTATCTAGCTGAAACTAACCAGTGCAAGACATGGAGTAAGCTTTGTAAACGTATTAATAACTAGAAATCATAACAAGGTGTCACAACCAGCAATAAGGCACTTTACAGATGCGAAAAACTCATGTAAACGAATCCTACTACACAAGAAGCTTCGGCGTCAAGGAACAAAGCCATACATGAATACAACGAAGAATGCAATACTGTGATACATAGTCTGAACTACCTAATGACATACAATAAGTGGTCCACAAGATAATAAAGATGATTAAGACCAATTACCAGCCAACTATATCTATCACATGATTGAATTTGACAAAAGAAGAAAGAGAGCAGCTCTAGTGGACCCTATAGAAAGAATACCGATGAATAGCCATGCTAATCAAACACAACATAATGTGATTAATTCTTTAACGAAAAGTCATAAACCTGCAGAGACTAAACCGTGCAGGGTAACTATCCCGATCAAAATGTCTTGATCATTAATAACAGGCAAGAATTGCACAGGAGAGGGTGGAGACTCCATCTTTTGCATTGCCTCTACTGCCATAGCATCTGGTCCAATGATCCTAGGGTGCCTGTGCATTATTAGAGAGAGGAAACCCGATGAGCAGGCTGAATATATATTATGCTGGAAAAGGAAAAAAATGCAGGATGCATTTTGCTTGCAGAAAACAAAAACTAAAAAGTATTCCTTGTGGCCCATTTAGGTAGCCAGTTATATAACAGTAATGAGAATTAATCTTAGTGTTTGGCAATCAAAGTCACATTCTAATGTCCATATCAATAAAAAAGCTCATCCCCTAACTTATGTTTTCCTCCATAAATGTCATTACCAACATGCCACCCAAAATAGTAATGGATGGTGATACAAAATTGTGATGAAAAAGAGTTAATTTAGGATGAACAATCATTACCATGGGAATGGAAATTGAATTTTGCTAAAAACTTATATACATTTCCATTACCATCATTTATTACCCTTAACCAAATGGACTGTTGAAATATTGCACAAGAATGCAAATATTCATGTAAGAAAGAGAACGTCATTATCCTTGAAAGAGCTGAAATACGGCATCTAAAAGAAATCTAGTTCAAAAGGTAGTAAACTGGATTGTAATAGACCAATCTAATAACTGGCCACTTGTATATGTTTTGAACTAGAGCAAGCAGTCAATACTTTTTTTTTTTGCAGTCAAGGGCCTGACAGGACTCTTCGGTTTGGAAAAGATAAGTACAAGCAAAATGTATAATTAGTTGGCACAGGTGGAAAGCCTACAGAGACACGTTGAGTTGATGGCATGATGTAATGCTGTAAAATTCCATAGATCTCCACTATTCAGGTCATAATAAGCTCTGTCACTTCTAATCTCAATAGCCAAACCCATATCAAACTTGTATGTGAAAGCTTTGAGGAAAAGACAGTATGTTTGGCTTACAGAAAATAATTCTTATATACTTCTGAATAATAGTACAGAAATTGTAGCAAATTGGCTGGGCATCAAGGACTAGGTTGTTCTAAAACTCTGCCTAAGAGACTTTTTTAAAAAGACTATTCATCCTGATAGAACATGCTAACTTTCTAAGTGTGACTTGCTAAGGCATAAATGGAACTGTCAATATGAATTCAACAAGGGCAGCAGTAAAGAGAACATGCTGACATAACAATTCCATGTTGCTACCTGCTAGAGGCTTTCACGAGACTCTTGCTTCCTCAACCCAACAAAAAAATACTTGGTCTAGTTTTAAAAAAAACAAGTTTGCGAAGTTTTAAAGTTGCAAAGTTAAGTATATAGAGAGAATAGTTACCTATTACACATCTCTCCAACTGTAAGCTTAAAGATTCCTTCTCCACTGGCTTTAAGTGTACGCCTCAAGTCTCCATCGGTAAAGGTACCAATTAGATGGTAATCATCATCAATAACGAGAAGGCATCCACATCCTCCACTGGTAAGTCCAACTAGCTGATCCATAATAAGATCTCCTTCCTTGCAAACAGGAAGATCCTCTTGCTTCTTCATGACATCCTTTACCTGCAAAAGCCACACAAATCAACTCAGAAGGTAGTCCGACCTCCAAGCCCCTCCCACAATTTTCATTTGTCTTTTCGTATTAAAATTAGAGCTGCATTATAATATTAGTTGAGTTTTTGATTAATTGCATCATCTGATTGAAATTAAAAATTCCTGAGGAAATATTTCACTACGAGATAAATGCTTGCACAATACACTAAAAAACACCACTTTCTGTTGAACCTGACAATATCAAAACTCGTTCAAAAGCAAATTAATGAGGCTTCAAAAGTTGTATGACATAAGATAGTGTAGTTTTCTCATGTCACTATGTCAGTTAGGTATAAAAAGGCCAACATAAACATTAGTTTTACGATCAATTGTCATGAACATGTAATACATATACTCCCTCCTACACTCCTACTGCCATAATACAAAATCTTCAACCATGCACGCTGAAAGTTTAGTCTGAAAAATTAGAAGCAAGAGAAAAGCTGAATGTTATTACATTTTTAATCTAAATTCAACACCCTTACCCACCGTATTTAAAACGCACATTGTATTAGTCAAAGAATCACCACAGATCACAACATAATTCCAAGACCAAAACGCAGCCTCTACTTTTACTGCAGCATTTGAATAAATCATAGTTCTTCTTCATACTCCCGAAAGGTAATATTTTTAGATCATAAAAAAGCAGCATCAAACAGCCAAAACCTAATCATAATTTTATATACTAACCCAAATGAGGATTTAAAGGTTAATCCGACATTCAATATGCCACCTACAAGCTCACAACTTTTTTAAACCTTACATCCATGATTTTTATACAACAAACTCATGTTTTCAAACATCTTAACTCGCCTTAATTTCATCTGAACTCAATAAACATATACCAATACCTTAGAATATAAATCAACAATGACTGTCAAGTGTCAACCAGCCAAACAGTTAGAAGCAAATTAATCACACACTTTTAAAACCACACTGTTGGATCCACCCAGAATTTACAGTGACATTGATAGTGTAATTTGAACTAGCGATAACTACAGCCCCATAGATATCCATACACATCATTTATAAATTAACCTTTCACAACGAATTCGAAAATAACAAATACAACCCAACAACAAACGGAATACACTCTCAACATAAGATCAAATCTCACTCTATAACTAATCTACATAAACTCCATCATCACAAAAATCATATCATTGACAATACAAATTTATCTAATCAATTCAACAACATAAAACATCCACTATAACAAATAGAATTGAGGTACAATCAAAACAAAATAACATTATACTAGTATATCATATGATCATATAATCATGCAATATAAATCAAGATAAAAACGCAAATCAATACCTTAAAAATGAGACTCTTCCCAATTTTTCCAGCAGGATGATTAGCAGCATAAGCCTCCTTACTCAAATTCCTAGCACTCATCAAGGCGATCGCCACGGTATCCCCGAAAACCATCTGAATAGCCGTGGAAGTAACCGGAGCGAGATCGAAAGGGCACAATTCTCTTTCTAGAGGCAAATGCACATTAAGATCACAAAAACCCATCAAATTATTACTCAAATTTGAAGTAATTCCAATCAAATAAGCCCCTTTTGCCTTAGCACAAGGGGCTAATCTAATCAATTCCTCACTATTCCCTGATTTGCTGAACATTACAACGACGTCGTTTCTTGTTAGAATTCCAATGTCCCCATGAAGGGCATCAACTGGGGAGAGAAACCCAGATCGAATTCCAAGAGAAACCAATGTTTGAGAGATTTTCTGGGCAACAAACCCAGATTTTCCAACCCCAGTAAAGATGATTGTGCCCTTTGAATTGAGCAAAATTTGGGTGAATTTTAGGGTTTGTGGGAGATCTAAGTGTTGGAAGAAGTAATTTAGGTAACTTTGTTGGGATTTGAACAAATTTAAGAGGGTTGATTCGTTTAATTTTGATTGTTCTTCAATTTTAATGGGATCAAAATGTACAGGAAGAGAACCCATTTTTGATGATTTTTTTTTTTCTTTTTTTTTTTCTGGGAAAAATTGGAAGAGAATTTAAAGAATGTTGATTAATTTGGATTTTCCCGCTTTTAAGAAATGATTATTATTTATATATTTGGAGTTTTGGAGTGATTTATGTTGAAAAAGACTTGAATTTTGCCAGCTAAATTTGGGTGTGATGTCGGTGAAGTTGATTGAGATTCATAATTTCATGGTACTTTTCATAAAATAATTAGTCCTTAGATTTGATTGCAAAATTGGGTGGGGTCAAGAAATTTAGTTAATCACTAAATTTATGGGATTGTTTGGGAGGTTAGTAATAAGGGGTTGAAAGTTGAGTGTAGATAAGGGAGTTTGGAATTTAAGGGATGCCAATCAATGCTCATTTGGGGTATAATCAATAATGTTAATTGCCTTGTCGAGAATTTTTTCCTGTTTATTAACGTGATGAGTTTCATTTGTATATCACAGATACTTTATAACGTATTTTATATTCAACAATAGTTTTTACTAAGGCGACCAATAAATAAAGTTTACACAAAAAATTGGTTTATCCTTTCTAGTATCATTGGTCATTGGGAGGTTCTATATGTTGTAAAACCTATTTATACTTATAAATTGGTTGTGAGAACTTGTACTTATCATTTATAACATGTCGATAGGGATAAACTAAACAAAGCTTACCTTCAATCATTGTGAAAGATAATTTTAAGGAAAATTTGTCACAACCTTTTAAAGTGTCCACTTTATTTAAAATAACCTATAAATTTATTTATTTTTTTTTTTTTTTTGCAATTTCAGACCACATTATTAATTTTTTTTATCAAAGACAACTAAATGTTACTTTCCGGCATTGACTCTATTTTACCCGATGTTGACCACGAGTGTGCGAGTCATGTGACCTCATATATTGTTTCATACACCCCTTTTTCCTCCAATTAACTCCTATTAAAATCCCTGCTTCTCTTTCATCCCTCTTTTAGTACGAGTGAATTGGAGGGAAAATTGGTGTATTAAGCAATATACGAGTTCATTTGCGTTGCACACTAGTGGTCAACATAGGGAAAAATAGAGAACGCCGGAAAGTAGCATTTGGTTGTCTTTGATAAAAAAAATTATAATGTGGTCTGAAATTGCAAAAAAAAAAATTTAAAGGTTGTTTTAAATAAAGTGGACACTTTAAAAGGTTATTTTTGACAAAATTTCCTAATTTTAATTAAATTTTATGATTTACCATTACCAAACCAAACCTTATCGACTATGGATAATTTCGCTATTTACTTTCATGATTGTTCTTGTTTATGTTCTATATATGCGATAGAACAAAGTCATTTTAATTCACTTATTCATAATTAATTTCTTTTATAACGAATCCATACAACAAAGCATGTGAACAACATCCAAACTTATTACTTGAAAAATCATTTAAAAAAAATATATATAATAAAAAATTTGTTAGAAGATAAGTCTAATAAGTGAATGCCAATTATTGATTTGATTACACAATGCTCATATAGGTCCAAACACTTGTGAACTCATATGGCTCTATGTGAGTAATTATTGTATTATTAGTGTAACTCATGGCTATAAATACAATGCCATAGAAGTAAGAATACGAGGATAACACTACAACAATTTCACCCATCTTCTTTCACTCTTTTACTCCTTTTATTAATCAAAACTTTTCTATCGGTAAATTCTTTAACACGTTATCAGCACCAGTTTTCAGTCAGGTATATTTATACCTACTTCTAAAAATTTATAACAAATAATACTATCTACTTCTAAATGTTTCGAGGAGTATGCTCTATAGTTGCCCATATTTGGGATCCTCTATAACAGAAACTCAAACATTTACTATATATACCTCAAAAACAACGGTGAAAGTTCTCTTACCTGTGAATTTACTACTATCATCTTTTGTTTATTCATGTTGATGTTTCTTTGTTTGATCCATGTTGATATTACATACTCATTTTACGTAAATTTTTATCTTAGTTATTATAATTGCTAAGTAGTAGCTTTGCATGCATATTATTATTAACTAGATTAACAAAAAGATGCAGCCTTTTATACTTATTATTTTTCTTACTTTTACATACTTTTTGTGTTTCTTTCCGTTTTCGAACCCATGATCTTTTATAGATATTAGGGCTCTCGGACCACTATGGCTTGCATTCCCAGTGTGATAACCTTTTACAATTATAAATATATATATATGGACCATAATTTTATGCCAGTACGTTAGACTATTATATGATATTTTTACAGTTGTACAGAACAGTAACGGATAAACCTACCTCTATAAAAGACGGATTTTCCCCCAATTTCACCACAAATCCCTTATCCCTTCCCACTTTTTATCCAAAAATCACCTAAAAAAAAAAATATTTCACCCCCTTCTTCTCCGATATGTTCCCCGACGACGGCAACCAAAACACCCAAAACACCCACAACTTCACTTTTGAGGAAGATTTAATGAAGATAAAACAATATTTCCTTCTAATTACGGCGCTTGTAATTTTATTAGTAGCAATATTAATTTTTGTCATTATGTATAAGTAAAACTCACTTATTTTGTCGTTTTAGTATATTAAAAGCTTGTTTTTGTTTTATTATGTATGTTTGTTGTTATTAATCATCATTGTATAATATTACCGTTATCATTATAATTATTGTTACTACTGTCATTGTTGTCGTTTTGCTGTTTTTTTTTGCAACTAACATGATTAATTTTTGTCTAATCATATAATTACCCACAATAATAAACCAAGGGGGAGAAAAGACTATATTATTTATGGTTTATTATTATTAAATTTAATTATCACGTGTCTTATTAACTTAATTATAAATATGGAAGAACTAAACATGTGAGTTGTACATATAATTTGTTATTATAAACTAATTATCACGAAATTTGTTGTAGCTAAAATGGGAGACCTTATGAAAAGACAGTTCAGCATCTTAGATTTATCTGGAAAGAAATTTCTAGAATGGAAAGTGGACGCAATGATGAATTTGAAAGCTCAAGGCTTGGAGCACACTGTTAAAGAAAATAAAAGTCCCTCTGGTCAAACAACTGATACTACCACTTCTGCAATGACTGTTGCAAAACCTGTTACTGAACAAGATAAGGCAAAAGCCTTAGTGTTGTTAAGGCATCATTTACATGAAGGCCTTAAAACTGAGTACATGATGGTTGAAGATCCCAAAGAATTATGGGATTGCCTTAATGAAAGATTTGGACACCACAAAAGGGTGCTCCTTTCTAAGGCATTATTTGACTGGACAAATTTACGGTTCCAGGATTTCAAATCTGTAATTGATTATAATTCAACCATACATGAGATAGTGTCTATATTGAGATACTGTGATCATCCAGTTTCGGATGAACAGATGATTGAAAAAACACTCACTACCTTTCATGCAAGTAACATACTGTTGCAAGAACAGTATCGTGAAAGAGGTTTTAAAAAGTTCAATGAATTAATGAGTGTATTGCTTGTTGCGGAACAAAATAGTGAACTTTTGTTGAAAAATCATAACCTGAGACCAACTGGGTCTTTGGCCACTCATCATGAGGCAAATGCAACAAATTCCTATCCACCCGAGTCAAATGCTACAAGAAGAGGTGGACGTGGAAATTACAATGGCCGTGGAAAAGGCCGTGGAAATTATCGCGGACGAGGCCGAGGACGTGGTAGAAACAATTTTCAAAGAAACAGTAATTTTAAAAATTTTGAAAAACAGAAGGGACAGTCATCTGGAAGCCACAAACAAACTCTTTCAAAAGGAAAAGACACATGTTACAGATGTGGCATGACAGGACATTGGGGACGTACTTGCCGCACGGCCAAACATTTGGTAGACCTTTACCAGGCTTCTGTAAAAGGCAAAGAGAAAAATGCAGAAGCAAATTATGTTAATGAAGAAAATGCTCCATGTCCTACCCTTGATGTGTCCGATTTCTTCATGGACAATGCTGAAACTGGGAATGATTTCATTCTTGGAGAAGACAACAATGCTTAGGTTCCCCATCTACTAATGTAACATATGCTATGTTTTAATGTATTTTCTTAGTTCCCTGTATTTTAAATTTCTAGTCATGTACTTTAAATCTTTATCATCAATAAAAGTTTGTATGATATTATTCTAAACTAATCTTAAATTTATTTTATGAAGATATGGATCTACCTGAAGTTAGTTCCGAATATCAATGCCTTTTGGACAGTGGAACAACACATACTATCTTAAAAGATAGAAAATATTTTTCACAACTAAAGTTGTTTCAAGCAAATGTAAACACCATTTCCGGGTCAGCTAAATTAATTGAAGGATCTGGAAAGGCTTGTATAATGCTTCCAAATGGAACAAAATTAATAATCAATAATGCTTTATATTCGAGTAAATCTTGAAGAAATCTCATAAGCTTTAAAGATGTACGCCAAAATGGCTATCATCTAGAAACAATGACGATAGATCAAAAAGAGTATATATGCCTCACGGCAGAAAAACATGGCAAGAAACATATATATGAGAAATTGCCAGCATACTCTTCGGGGTTATACCGTATAAACATACGACCCGTGGAAATCAATATGATATATAACCAGAAGTTAGATGACAAACATTTGATTATTTTATGGCATGATCGTTTGGGACATCCAGCAACTGGGATGATGCAAAGAATAATAGCACATTCAGTTGGACATTCAATAAGAAATGTCAAAATTCCCCGATCAGATGAATTAACATGCTCTGCATGTTCACTTGGCAAATTAATAATAAGGCCATCTATGAACAAAATCGCTACTGAATCTCCAAAATTCTTGGAAAGAATTCAGGGAGATATATGTGGGCCAATTAATCCAGCATGTGGACCATTTCGATATTTCATGGTTTTAATTGATGCCTCTACACGATGGTCACATGTTAGTCTACTTTCAAGTAGAAATGTTGCCTTAGCAAAATTACTTGCCCAAATCATCAAATTAAGAGCACAATTCCCAGATCATACAATAAAGAAAATAAGACTTGACAATGCTGGGGAATTTACATCCCAAACATTTAATGATTATTGTATGTCAATTGGAATTGATGTTGAACACCCAGTAGCTCATGTTCATACACAAAATGGTCTAGCTGAATCACTAATTAAGAGATTACAATTGATTGCAAGACCATTATTAATGAGGTCAAGATTGCCATCATCTGCTTGGGGACATGCTATAATACATGCAGCAGCGCTAATTAGATTGAGACCTACAGCTTATCATAAATTCTCACCACTACAACTTGTTTGTGGTCGAGAACCAAGTATCTCACATCTAAAAATCTTTGGTTGTGCTGTATATGTTCCCATTGCTCCACCCCAACGAACAAAAATGGGTCCACAAAG